TACAGTGAAATTTATTATTCTCGGATTTTTTTATATTTGGATTATTAATTAGATTGATTAGTTTGGCATTCAGGGCTGGGATAATCTGATGTATTATATGAAATATGGTGGATATATTTTCAACAATTACCAAAAAACAAAAAACCAAAAGTAACATATATATTTATTTTTCTAGGCGGGAAAATTCTAAGAACACATATTTATTATCAAACTCCAATAGTATATTGTGTCACAAGGGCAGAAAATGAGCTTTAGCAGCCCACGGCGAGCGAAGCGAGGGCAGCTGATAGCTAAGGGCTGCTAAAGCGTTTTCTGCATGTGTGACACACAATTGTTTTTCGCCTACCAAAAAAAAAAAAAAAAAAAAAAGAAAAGGAAAATATAATGAAAATCTTTAATTTTACAAAAACAAAAAACTTAAGTAGTACAATGTACGAATTTATTTATTGTAGTAATTAATATTAATTATCCCTTGAGCACAATTATGGATCTTTGATCTTTTATAAAGATAAGCAAGTACTGCATTTTCAGTTAAGTTTTTTGCTTTTTTACTCTTTTTCCAGTTGGTAAACAATTCATAGTACTTTTCGTACCGTTCTCTTGACTTAGTAGGTAGTAAATTTAGAGAATTATTATTGGCTTCCTCTTGCAAGTTTGGTGGAGTACTTGTAAATTCTTCGTCACTGTCTGAATGACTATTCATGTTCACTAATTAGGCATTCCAACGACCTGTCAAACAATATGTGCCAGTGGGAAATTCTTGTATATCTAAGGGGGTAGCGACATAGTCTTGCAACTTGGGCGCTATTTTTATTCGAAGTAGTAGTCGCCAAGCCTGCCAATTTATGAAGAAATGTATAGGTAGGTTTTTAAATATTATTTTTATTGTGTTTGACATAAAATATTTAAATGTAATCCATTATTCATGATTTTACGTAAAGTAGATAGAATACACCGTATGTCGCCACCCTTAGATATACCAAACCTTCCCACTGGCAATTCATTTGTTTGGAATGCCTAATAGACTTACACTGACGTTTAATCGGAAGCTCTATAATAGGGCCAAGCACAGCGGAGATTGGCAGAGCTACACCGAGGCGCTTACTACCTACAACAAAGAAATCAGGAAAGCTAAACGTAACAGCTTTAGAAAATTCTGCGAGGATATTAACTCTACACCTGAGGCAGCGAGACTGCACAGGGTCCTGGCAAAAGGGAGAGTTGATACAGTTATGGCATTAAAGAAACCAAATGGAAGCTTCACGGAGAGTGAGGAGGAAAGAGCTCGCCTCTTACTCGAAACTCACTTTCCTGGAAGCACACCTTTTCTAATAAGGGACACAACTAAGGTAAGCAGACCCCCAAGAGAGGCCGCTGTAGTGGCCAAGCATATATGCAGCAGAAATCGGTTAAGGTGGGCCGTAAACACTTTTAAACCGTTTAAGTCTCCAGGTGTGGATGGAATATTTCCTGCCCTGCTTCAGCAGGCACAGAAGGAATTACTACCACACATAATCCGGCTATCCCGGAGCAGTCTGGAGCTGGGATATATACTAGAAGCATGGAGAAGGGCCAGAGTCACCTTTATTCCAAAAGTAGGGAAAAAGGATACCACACATCCTAAATCTTTCCGTCCAATCAGCCTCACATCCTTTGTATTAAAAACAATGGAGAAGGCTGTTGATAACTATATCAGAACAGAAGTCCTGGAGAGGGTGCCACTCCACCACAGCCAACACGCGTACCGAGCAGGAAGATCTACAGAAACTGCCCTGGTACAGTTGACTGATGTAATCCAGGATGCACTGACAAACAAAGAAACGGTCGTGTGTGCCTTTCTAGACATATAAGGAGCTTTTGACAACACGCCACACGAATCTGTAAAAAGAGCACTTGCATACAGAGGAGTAGATAACATCACATCCAGATGGATGGCTCAGCTGTTATCTTCGAGAACTGCAGAGACACAGATAGGGCAGGACACCATCTCCATCTGCACAACCAGAGGATGTCCACAAGGAGGAGTTATATCCCCACTAATGTGGAGCCTAATCGTAGACGAACTTCTATGCAGATTGACTGACCTCGGCATACCCTGTCAAGGTTATGCCGACGACATAGTCATATTTGCTAGTGGCAAGTTTAGTAATATCCTGTGTGATATAGTCCAAAGAGGACTAGAACATACCAAAAGATGGTGCCGTGAAGTGGGACTTAGTATAAACCCTACAAAAACAACACTAGTAGCCTTTTCAAGGAAAAGAAAACTTAATCTCAAAACCGTTAAATTAGACGGGATAGATATAAAATGGAAAAATGAAGTCAAATATCTAGGCCTAACCCTGGACAACAAACTTCTCTGGAACACACATGAGAAGGAAGTAGTAAATAAGGCCACAAAAGCCCTAATGGTATGCAGAAACATGGCGGGTAAACGATGGGGATGTAACCCAAACATACTGCGATGGATGTATACTGCAATAGTGAGACCAATCATCACTTACGGGGCTATAGCCTGGAGTAACAGAACTAGTTTAGTTACTACGAGAGCTAATATCTCAAAAGTACAAAGACTAGCCTGTGTTTGCATTACTGGTGCAATGAGAACCTGTCCTACGGCCGCAATGGAGGTGATCTTAAACCTCACCCCTCTACATTTGATGATAGAGAATGTGGCAAAAAGGACACGATATAGAATGATCAGGAGCGGAGTAATCAGACGAAAGTCTACTTGCTTCAGGACTAAAGATACCTGGGACATGCCCCAGGATGAAATGCAAAAGAAGTACAGTTTTGTGAAAAACTTCAAAACCACAGAGCTGGGCTGCAAGAAAGAATGGAGCCAAGAATCCATCTCGCTTGCAACCGAAAGACGTGCTATTCAGTGGTACACGGACAGTTCCAAAACCATAGAAGGAACTGGAATATGAGTGTATGGGCCGAGAACCAAGCACTCCGAAAGCTTGGGAAAATACCCAAGCATCTTCCAGGCGGAAATTCACGCCATCGAGAAGTGTATCCAGTTTAACATCGAGAGAAACTATCATAGACAAGAGATTATCATCATGTCCGATAGTCAAGCAGCCATCAAAGCGCTGAGTTCTTACGTAATCAGCTCAAAAATGGTATGGAGATGCCTAGAACAATTGAATGAGCTAGGCGAGAAAAATAGAGTTACTCTCACTTGGGTCCCGGGACATAACGGGGTACAGGGTAACGAGATTGCAGATAGTCTTGCAAGGAAAGGGACTCAAACACCCTTTGTAGGACCTGAGCCGTTCTGCGGTATCAGCAGTAACATAATATTAGAAGAGATTAAAAAAGAATTGGGTAGTAGAAGAACCGATAATTGGAACAATCTCTTGGGGCTAAGACAGGCCAAGATACTTCTGGGTGAATATAACCAAAAAAGATCGGAAGCCTGCATCTGCCTGAGCAAGAACAGGCTACGTATTGTAACAGGGATCCTTACCGGGCACTGCCGACTAAAAGGACACCTAAGTAAACTGAGAGTAGTAGAGGATAGTAAGTGCAGATTCTGTGAGGAGGAGGACGAAATCTCCATTCACATCCTAACTGAATGTGTAGCACTCCAGAATCCAAGGGCACTATATCTAGGAGGATATCAAATAGAAGAGGGAGACTTACCTAACTTGAAGCCACTTCAAATCCTACACTTCCTTGAGAAAATAGGATTGGAAGGGTCGCTATAGGCATTGAGACATTTCCTTAGTGCAGTGGCGACAGAAGGGGGCACAATAGATCTTTTAGGTCGCAGTGTATTAACACCCCATTATCAACATAACATAACATAATCGAAATTTATGTGAAAAGTCAAAGTACGCAAGTGACAGTCAACGGTATCTAGATATCTAGTGAAAAACTACAAAATCGGGCTGTAATGAGTTTTATTTACAACCATATATGTAATGCTGTCATTACTAACGTCATTTAAGGTTGGGAAGTGTCACATTACACACCTCTACTTCCCGCCCTCATTTCATCTATTCTAGATGAATATTTTTTATATTTAAAAATATCAGTTTTTTCTTCAATTTCTAGCATCGTTCGTATCATACTGCCCATAAAGTAGACGGCTTCTTTTGTCTGGTATGTTCTCCAAAATATGCCAGGAGTACACTTTCGGAACCGATATTTTTGACCTTTTTTTCTTCGCACCACTTCCTAAATAATTCAATGGCTTTTAGGTACCGATGCTTACTTTTCTCTGGCAAAACTTTTTTTTCAATTTATTATTCGCGAATTTAATATCCGACTTAATCTGACATTTATTGACTTTATGTGACATTTATTTATATTAGTAACAATTGTTTACCCCGTAGTCACGGTACCAATATATTTACTTGATTATTCTGAGAAAACCGCGTGCTTGGTAATTTGTCGTTAAATGTAATATTTTAAGTATGTTCAGAACGAAACAGAGATTTATTAATTTTGATCGAAATATGATGGTTGTAAATAAAATAGTATACAAACCTCGGTAGGAAGTTTCAGTCCTGTCTTGAGATCATAGCTAACCTCGACGCTTCGCGTCTCGGTGATCTAACTAATCTCACGACAGGGGTAGTATTCTCGAATCACGAATACCGACATTCGCATACGTGTTTTACAATGTGTCTCACTTTGTTGAACGAAAACCAAGTGAGACAAATCATAAATCTCGCATGCGAATCTATATTCGTGACTCGAGAATACTACCCCAGGAATGAAACTCTTCCCACCTCGGTGTGTAATATACTATTGCAGCCCATGGGACGATATAAGTTACTTTCGGTCATATTTTTAGGGTTGATATGATTTATTTTCACATATAGTAGGCGAAAAAACAAATATGTGTCTACACATGTAATATTTTCTATTTAATTTAGAACAGGTTATTTTTGTTATTGGTTAAAAATAAATATAAACAAAAAATATAACATCAATAAAAAATGCTGTTTCAGTATTTACTCCAGAAATAATTTTTGGTTGGTTTTTAGATCTCATCAGAAATTACAAACAGATAATTAAAGGAAAAAATGGACCAGATTCTGATTCTGAATTGCTTCTAAGCTCTTCAACGTCTGCGGAAAATAGGTAAGTTTGACAAACAAAACATGCGATATTTTTATAAGAAGTTGTTTCAGTGAATGTTGCTTTTTTCTCAGCACAAGTACGGAAGCTGCCGAACCCAGAATATTCCAACAAGAGAATTGTAGCTCGGATAGCGAAAATGACAATCCCGAAAAAGGTTCTACAGAAAAATTTGGCCAACAAAAGCAAAATAACTTCATTAAAAGGTAGGGCAGTAATTTTTTTTTAAATCATTTAAGAGCAAACCAAACACCTCTAAAATGTATAATTCTTTCTGAGCCTTTATTTATAATTCGAATTTGGGAAATTTTCAGGAAATACCAACAATAACAAAACTTAGGGTGGAGAAATCTTGAATTTTTTATAATCCATCTAAAAGTATTTAATTTGAAAATGTTTAAAAGTAATAAAAAAAATACGCGCTATTCTGTATTAAATCTAAGAACATTTGCTATTTTTGTTTTAATAAATATCTAGTAATTTTTAAATGGGACGATTTCCCACCTTTTTTTCCTTGCCTTAGCGTTGCACAAATTTAAAGCTCTCAATGTTCTCGAGGTACATAATATCAAGAAGTATTCCTAGTAGCGCGTATATAATTACAATTTTATATTAAAAAATCCTTAAAACATTTTTGTTTTCGCAAGAGGTCCGGTTTGCTCTTAAATACCTTTACCAAAAACTTTTTTTGCAATTTATTTTTACATTTCAGGAAATTTCTATCTAAAAACAGTTTTAAAATGAATAAAAACGATTATCTGTATGATATTCTCGATCATTCCACCTTGAATGAAGTTGTCACAGAAAATACGAAACTGGTAAGTAATCATTAATAGCTGTATCGTCAATGGGAGTGTCATATTGGAGAGAAAAAGATTTCATTTTTTAGAGAAAATGTTATTCGTCATAAAAGTTTTTGCTTACTTCATAAATATATTTTTATTTTAAAAGTCATATGAAATACTACATGAAAACAGAATTTACTCATAAATAAAAGACTTAACATTACTAGGTTTTGGAATTTATTGAATATTATTACAACTAATTTAGTGAAATTACATCTAATTTAGTTAAATTTGATATAACTTATGATTGAAATTTTTTTTGTTTTAGTTGCAATAAAATAGGTTGATCTATTTTAGCTTTTTTAATGTATGTAAGTAATTTTGTAAACAAAACGAGAATAATGAAATATAGGCATATGACAACAGCGGATATTATACCCTCCTGTGTCCCTTAGATGTCTTATTCAGGACCGCACGATATTTGTTAGTAGTTACATCTCCTGTTATCTCCTGTTATCTCTGATATAAATACATATTATAGTGTTTGAAAGTACATAACATTTTTTTGCTGGTAAGTAAAGACTCATTACATTACTTACTAATTCTAATTAAACATTTATACTCTGAACAAAATATTGGAGAAGGTGATTCATCCCTGTTCACGTACAATCATCGTACTATACCGGTGAATTATGAATAATATCATGCGGGTATCATGTGCCTGCAGAAGATATCGGTACCACGTGCCATACTATACTATAGTCATCTATGTATATTCATTGCCAAAATCTATTCTACCAGTGGCGTAGAATCATTATATTGGCAAATTGAATATTTAAATGGAGTTTTTGTGAATATTAATAGACGAAAGTAGGTTTACAAAATATTTACAAAATATTTACAAAATATTTACAAAATATTTACAAAATATTTACAAAATATTTACAAAATATTTACAAAATATTTACAAAATATTTACAAAATATTTACAAAATATTTACAAAATATTTACAAAATATTTACAAAATATTTACAAAATATTTACAAAATATTTACAAAATATTTACAAAATATTTACAAAATATTTACAAAATATTTACAAAATATTTACAAAATATTTACAAAATATTTACAAAATATTTACAAAATATTTACAAAATATTTACAAAATATTTACAAAATATTTACAAAATATTTACAAAATATTTACAAAATATTTACAATATATTTACAAAATATTTACAAAATATTTACAAAACATTTACAAAATATTTACAAAATATTTACAAAATATTTACAAAATATTTACAAAATATTTACAAAATATTTACAAAATATTTACAAAATATTTACAAAATATTTACAAAATATTTACAAAATATTTACAAAATATTTACAAAATATTTACAAAATATTTACAAAATATTTACAAAATATTTACAAAATATTTACAAAATATTTACAAAATATTTACAAAATATTTACAAAATATTTACAAAATATTTACAAAATATTTACAAAATATTTACAAAATATTTACAAAATATTTACAAAATATTTACAAAATATTTACAAAATATTTACAAAATATTTACAAAATATTTACAAAATATTTACAAAATATTTACAAAATATTTACAAAATATTTACAAAATATTTACAAAATATTTACAAAATATTTACAAAATATTTACAAAATATTTACAAAATATTTACAAAATATTTACAAAATATTTACAAAATATTTACAAAATATTTACAAAATATTTACAAAATATTTACAAAATATTTACAAAATATTTACAAAATATTTACAAAATATTTACAAAATATTTACAAAATATTTACAAAATATTTACAAAATATTTACAAAATATTTACAAAATAATACGAGCTTATTTTTTATTTTAAATGAAAGAAAATAGATAGATATGTAGCTAAAGATTAAATTGGTGGTTCGGAGTCACTTTTCCAATATTTGATAGTTTTTTTTTCTAAAAATATTGAGAAATTATGAAAAAATATAAATTTTGCGATCACAGTCAAAAACACCAAATCACTTAAAATCAGTTTTAACTCTGCTAGAGAGAGTGGCGATGACAAACGGATGTCTTTCAAGTAAATAAACAACAGACGGGTTTCGGGTTGAATATTGTAAGAAATCAATTTTAATAAGAGGTGAGATATATTGTCCTGGTGATGCGACGGCGTCATTTACGAAGTATTAAAGAGTTTAGAGAGTGAATGCTGAACACACGGTGTTTAAAATATGGCAAGGTACTTCCGTTTCGAGTCATTGTGGAGGGATTATCTACAGGTTTGAAAGCACCATCAGGTAAAGGACAGGGCCTTATTACTACTCAAACTGGAAACAACAGTAACTTTTTGAAAAACAGTATTTTATATATAAAAAACAGGGACTACCACGAGGATATGAATGCAGAATGCTTTAAAATGTAGTTTACTAAAGTGTTACAGCATGTAGAACCAAATTCAGTTATTGTACTAGATAACGCTTCTTATCACAGCTGACGAGTTGAACATATTCCGACCATGTCCTGTAGAAAAGCTGGCGTGTGATCGTGATATTACGTTTCTAAGGCTTCTCCCTTATCACTGTGAATTTGAGCGCAAGTGAAAGGAATTGTGGCTCGAGAAAACAATGCATTTAAAATATCCGATGTTAACTATTATTAAAAACCGTTATAGAACGTACAAAACCTAAAGATTAGCAGAATTCCATTTCTCACGTAATTAAGCAAGAAATTAATATAGGGCGCTCGAACGGTGTATGATCGAAACGGTATTTGAACTTTAAGTTTCGACGATAAAGTCGATTTCAGTTATAGTTCTGCAGAATCAGAGGATTACGATACTTTATACATTCAGAAATCATGTAAGTGATAGCTTAATTTACAGATTTTCACAATAAACAAAATAAAATTATAAACATAGATGATTATTACAACAAAAATAGATAACCAACCTACTTTCGTCTATTAATATTCACAAAAACACCATTTAAATATTCAATTTGCCAATATAATGATTCTACGCCACTGGTAGAATAGATTTTGGCAATGAATATACATAGATGACTATAGTATAGGTACGTGGTACCGATATCTTCTGCAGGCACGTGATACCCGCATGATATTATTCATAATTCACCGGTATAGTACGATGATTGTACGTGAACAGGGATGAATCACCTTCTCCAATATTTTGTTCAGAGTATAAATGTTTAATTAGAATTAGTAAGTAATGTAATGAGTCTTTACTTACCAGCCAAAAAATGTTATGTACTTTCAAACACTATAATATGTATTTCTATCAGAGGTAACAGGAGATAACAGGAGATGTAACTACTAACAAATATCGTGCGGTCCTGAATAAGACATCTAAGGGACACAGGAGGGTATAATATCCGCTGTTGTCATATGCCTATATTTCATTATTCTCGTCGTTTTGTTTACAAAATTACTTACATATATTAAAAAAGCTAAAATAGTTCAACCTATTTTATTGCAACTAAAAACCAAAAAAATTTGAATCATAAGTTATATCAAATTTAACTAAATTAGATGTAATTTCACTAAATTAGTTGTAATAATTTTCAATAAATTCCAAAACCTAGTAATGTTAAGTTAGAAGTGGCAACAGGGCTTACACTGGCATGAATATCTACGTTGTTTATTATAAGCTTACACATTTATTCATTTATAAAAAAAATATCCTCTCTCTCACTTCTCACCTTTCGTCTCCTCGCCGCGGACCTACAAATGGAGCGTATTGATTGTAGAATTAATCTTGGCATCATGAATATTATATTTTATCAATAAATGGTCATATCTCTGATCTCTATATATGTATAGCCTAAATAAGAACTTTTTTAAAATTTCTAATTCACCAAAACAACAGTGATATAAATACGTAAAAACGGCATATATTTCTTCATATAACACTTTTTTTTAAGTCTCAGTAATAACTAAAGGGAAAGCGAAAATCTTGGCACAATATGACCTAAAGTTTCAAGTAGGTACACTTTGTCCGAAATGATATGCATTCTCCAAAAACACCCCCACTTACGGTATCAAATAAAAATAAAAGATCAAAGTAAAAAAAGATTTATTTTTTAGATTTCTTCGAAGAAGATAATTATAGATGATAACCAGCCTAGTTTCAGTAGATCCCAAAGTATTAATGACCATACCAACAGCTCTCTAGTGACCATGTAAGTTTTTGTAAATACAAACTCGAAAGCACGTGTTTATTAGTAAACATTTTTTGTAAACACCTTGTATATTCAGTATTGAGCTGATAATTCCATTTTTCCATAACAATAATTAAAAACAGATAAAAAATTAGTGACAACATAGTGACGTTATTATTATAGAGTTATAGACAGATTCCTATTTTGATATGTACACATTATTGCATTTATTTTTCAGATAAATTTGTTTATAAATGATTTAATGTTAAATGAAGATTTCATCAGAAATTCCGGAAAGTGCATTTATATCACAATACATATTGACAAACTTTCTTTGTCGACTTTTAAAAACGAAAGAATGTAATTTTTATTTGACTGAGGTCGATGATCAACTCAAACTCACATTTTCTTTTTTATCTCATATATTTTCGTAGTGGATCGTAGAAAAAATATACTGTACAACTCGAGTGGATTGTCCATATCCACTCTTGTTGCTCAAACTACTATTGTAGTTGCTGGAATGATGCCAGTATATCCAACCTAGTACCTAAGGAAGCAGGAGCGCCATTAACTCAGTTTTTAATATTTCAAACAGTCTTATTATATTAACAAATTCGGGTGTCACTTATTGGGGTACTGTCAGGAATGAGTACCATTACCTTAAATAATGATGTTATTACAGATTTGCAGTATGGAATACCACGGTAGGCTCATCTCTATTGGCCATGGCGTGGGGCATGGGAAAAGCTGGATTATTTCCAGGAATTGTCATTAATTTATTAGTCGTAGCTCTCTGTTTATACACCGCATATGTACTGCTCAAAATAAATGAAAAACATGGTAAGTTGAACGTTAGAAAAACAATTTATAAATAACTAAATATGACAAAATATACAGTGATTTTTTACATTTCAGGTATAGCTGGACAGAATTTTGAAGTTCCTGAATTATGTAGACTGCTAATAGGTAGATGGGCGGAAATTGTATCAAAAATATTTTCTTTAATAGTTCTAATTGGTGGTGACATCGTTTACTGGATATTAATGTCTAATTTTCTGTACAACTTTGTTGTCTTCATATATGGTAAGAATATGATTCTGTAGTAAAATACTATTTGTTTTCATAAATTGAGAATATTAAGTCAAATCCTTCCAAAATCGTACACTAAAACCTACTTAATATTGCAAATATCTAGGAATAGAACTAGTTCACAATCTCAATTTCAAATATACCCAACAAATAAAAGAAATCCCTCGAACAAGCCAACCACTTCAGAGCTTTAACTTACAAAAAAGAAGAGATAACCAATATCCAATGATATGTAGACCAACTTTTACTTCAAACAAGCTCTAGATCAACCCTTCACAATATGGAAGATGCGGACGACACGAGCGGAAAGATCATGAACAATAAAACTTCGCTACCCCAACAATCCATAGGATAACCAATCCAATCGGCTTTTTTTAGTTTTTACACCCTTTGGACCCCCGTCTATAACCTGGCGGCACTGCAGCATATTGTACCACTATTTGAAGGTCTTACTACTAATTTCCCATTCACCAATTCACTTCCTTCATTGATCGTCATTCGTTCCACGTCGTCGATCGTTAAACGCTAGTCGGCTAAGTCCCATGGTGACACACGGACCATGGTGGAACCTCCCAGCGGTATCGCATCCACGACGTAATTGGAGAGATCACTGCTTAACTGTTGCCACTAATCTCGTGGCTAGCCTCTCCGGTTACTATATGAAATAATTAAAATTATACCTATTCGACAAAGGATGAAATACATACGGTGTGAACTTGGCAGCCAAAAGCTAGCGGCCAATTACCCGAAAATGTCCGAAAGATCAGTAGTTTCTTTAAAAAGGTTAAAACTTTAAAAATCGGTATACAAGTAAATAATAATATTATATACAATTTGAGACAAGTCTTATTTCCTTAACAGGGGTCTAAGTTGGTTCAATGGGGGCAGCCCTTTTTGAAATATTGGAAAATGCTATTTGGTACAGAAGGGAAAAAGTTAACACTTTAAACATCGGTATACAACTAGATAATAATATTAGAAACAATTTGTGACTAGTCTGATTTCCTTACGAGGGGTCCAAGTTGGTTCAATGGGGTAGCAGCCCTTTTTGAAATACTGGAAAAAGCTATTTGATACAGAAGGGAAAAAGTTAACACTTTAAAAAACGGTATATAACTAGATAATAATCTTAGAAACATTTTGTGACTAGTCTGATTTTCTTACGGGGGGTCTATGTTGGTTCAATGGAGTAGCAGCCGTTTTTGAAATATTGGAAAAAGCTATTTGATACAGAAGGGAAAAATTAACACTTCAAAAATCGGCATACAACTAGATAATAATATTAGAAACAATTTGAGACTAGTCTGATTTCCTTACTAGGGGTCTAAGCCCTGCTACCCTATTGAACCAACTTAGACCCCTCGTAAGGAAATCAGACTAGTCTCAAATTGTTTCTAATATTATTATTATCTAGTGTTAACTTTTTCCCTGAAGAGCCAAATAGTTTTTTCCAGTATTTCAAAAAGGGCTGCTACCCCTTTGAACCAACTTAGACCCCTCTTAAGGAAATAAGACTTCTTTCTAATTGTTTATAATATAATTGTTTACTTGTATACCGATTTTTAAAGTTTTAACCTTTTTAAAGAGGCTACTGATCTTTCGGACGTCTTCGGGATATTGGCCGTTAGCATTTGGCTGCCAAGTTCACACCGGTGAAAGACATAGCCATTGCAAATAAACCAAATAGAGAACTGCTGAACCAGATAATTATCCATAGAAATCCCAAACGCATCGCCCCAAAAAGGAAGCATCCTGAAAAACCACTAAACTCAAAGATAAAACCCCCTTAAAATCATTATCAGATGTAGTATACAACATTCCTTGTCTAGAATGTAATAAAGTCTATATTGGTCAAACACAAAGACCTATCTCAGGTAGAATCTCCTCCCACAGAAGTGATTGCAGACTGCATCCGGAACGTTGTGCTTTGGCTGAACATGCTAATAAATATCAACATAATATAAATTATGACGAAATTAAAATATTAGCCATTGAAAATAACTACCATAAAAGACTTTTCTTGGAGATGGCTTTCATTTCACAGGAACCAAATTCTATGAACAAAAAGACAGATATTAACAATTTAAGTGAAATTTATTCTTATTTATTAGATTTGGACAATAAACCAAACCAAATTCATAATTTAAATAATACAGAGCTAATTTAATATAAAAATCACTCTTTGAACATTTAAAAAATATTAATGTTATGTAAATATAGCATTATCCACATTTATTTCCTAACCTCTAATAACTTGTTATTTATTTAAAATTTTACTTGTCATGTCAAATTGTCAAATTGACCTTTCGTTATTTATATTTTTTTAGTTTTAAAGTATCGTAATTATTGTTTGTGTATATTATTTTGTAATTGACTTCAGCTTGTCCATTTTGTATCTTTACACTAAAATGAATAATACCACCATAATGAACAACCTTAATTAAGATGTAAGTAATTAAAAAAATTTTACCTTACTTTATCATAATATGTGGTATTATTTTATTTTAGTCTCCCTGATGATGGAAATAAACATTTCCGAAAGCTTGGAATAAACTTAAAAAAGTAATCTTTCATTTGCTGCATTACCCACAAATTACTGGTTAAATTAAATTAAAATAGTTAAATTATATATATATATATATATATATATATATATATATATATATATATATATATATATATACGCATTGTTAGACCTGCTTATTATTATTTGTTTTAGGATACTTCAATGAGGCTCAAGATGGCACTGAAGACACCGTCCAATGTCCCAAAGAAATCGGCGGAATTGGGAATACAACAGTCATTTCAGAAACAAATCATTCAGGGACTTTTTACAATGTCTGGGACCTTTACAGTACGGTTCCATTGTTTTTAGCTTTGATGATGTTCCCACTTTTGAACATGAAGAGCCCAACTTTTTTCACCAAGTTCAATAGCCTGGGTAAGACATTTTAAAGCGTATAATTTAAAATAACCTGAAAGATACAAATACATGATGGTGGGTGATGTTTTCTTTCCTCACCTGTAAGTCAAATGGCACCATGAATCATCTTTAAGTCACTCCGGAGAATAATAATATTAATAGCTGTCCCTTCCGCACACAAGCTTAGTAAGCTTCAGGGGTTAAAATGTACTCGTAGGGGATTAGGGAGTATTATTAATATTATGTTATTTCCTATAATAGGTGCTTATTATTCCCAATCTGTAAAGTTTTGTTCAAAGATCACAAAGGATCCAGTAGGGGCAACCAGAATAGGCTTGTTGTGGTTACTAATCGTATCAACAACTACTAGTTCACGCCTCTACACTATGGTTTCTAGGAAGGAATTTTTTGGCCAAAAGTGATTTTTTCAACTCTTACTAAATACATTTTTATGTCTATATATTAAAAATTAATACTTCAGAGCTCACGAATCCCAACTGGGAATTTTATTTGAGCGTCCCTTCTACCTAACTCGGGTAACAAGTTGTAGTTTCTGTCGGTGGTCAGTGGTCAGTTACGATTAAGCAGTCACCGAGCGTAGACAAACTTTAAAGCTGAGCTGCTTGTGTAATTTTTAAAAATTGGATTTTCAGTGAACTGTGTTATTACCGTTAAGGTATGTACTTTTAATTTATATAAACAGAAATACGTTATTCTTCACGCGTTTTTTAAATTAATTAATATATAGTGTATATTTATTTTAAAAATTGTAAACTCCGTCTTTATCAGTGATTGTTATTCAATATAATTTTGTTGCTACTATCTGCTACCCTTTCTAAAAAAAAATTTTTTTTAGCCATGCATCGTTTTAAGAATGAAGACTTTTTGGAACTGTGGCTAAAAGAAAAAAACAAAGGCGATAACTTTTCTGCTATTTATCTTCGTATTATAAAGGAAGTAGGAGAAAAGAGGCAAATCCATCCAATATACAAAAAATTAAAAAATTCATCGTTTATGTCGCAGTTTTGATGAAAGATGGACCAAAGCGTTGCGGAACAAGGAATATTTTAAGAAAAAAAATTCGAATTGGCTAAAAAATGATTTTAGTATTGAGATAAATGAACCTATGCCATCTACATCTTTCGGAGTCCCACAATTCCGTTTTCTGAAAAATCAAATCGATCAAAAAGAAGAGAAGCCTCGCAGTTATCACATGAAAAACAACATGAGTCATCATTAATAGTACAAGTTGCAAGTATGGCGGCACGACAACAAGGAATGCAAGATTTAGCAGTCGTGCTAAAAGAAGTAAACAAAAGCCCATCTCGACCAGCTAAAATTAGAAAAATGCTGTAAAGTATACGCCTGAAGAAGCCCTAGAATTTATTCTAGATAACAATTTTAGTAAACAGCAGTATTTAAACATCAGGCACGGAGCTCTTTCAAGAAAATCTGATACGTACCCAAACTATAATGAAGTGTGGAAATGTAAACCTAAATGTAGACCAACCGGTATTATTGTTTCTGATATTGTAGCAGAAGTTCCTTTATCAAATCTTCTAGAACATACTACAAAAAGAATTGTATTTTTACAAGAAGAGGCCATTATGCAGTACATATTTTTTTTGCCGATATATTTTTAACGTGTGTTGATGTGTTTGATGTGTTGTCCAAGAAATCTTGTAAATTCAGTGGATAAAAGTGCCGCAATAAAGTTGAAACATATACCATTAAAAAGACAAAATCATCCCTCATAAAGTGAGTACTTAGTTACAAAGATTAATTTAAAAATAAGTTAGAAAACCATCAAAATATGAATGCATAAACTAGTAACAATATATTTTTTGTCTCGATATAAAAGATAAAGGCTAATTGCTTTTACACAAAAACAGAAATCCGATAAATACGGTACACCATAAATAAATAGTCAGGTAGCTGAACTTAAAATATGAATCTTTCGAATGAAGATCTTTTACACAAATTGGAAGCGATTATTAACGAAAAAACTGCAGAAATAAAAACAGAAATTAAATATATAAAAGAAACCCTCAATCAAGAAGTTCAAAATTTGAGAAGTAGATGCCAAAATTTAGAGAAAAAAATAACGTATATTGAAAGAGCCAATAAAAAAAATAATATAGTTATATTTGGGATCCAGGCAAATCGCGAAAATCTACTAAGCGAAACCCTTAGAAAATTAAATGAAATCTTTAATTTAAATCTAACGGAGGCAGATATAAATAACATATTTTTCATAGGGAAGAAAAACACCGTCATCCTAGAATTTGTGTCCTTCTTAAAAAAACAAAAAATCTTTCAAAATATAAAACAAATTAGAGGAACAGGTATATCTATATCAAACGACCAAAGTCCGGAAGATCAACATATTACAAAAACGTTAGTTAAACATCTTAGACTAGCAAAGGCAAACAATTCACAAGCTTATATTAGGAATTACAAACTTTACGTAGAAGAGGTACCATATACATTCGAACAACTAGAAGGCGAGACGATTGACCGAAACGTGGAATCCGAGTTCGAAGTGGAACTTCCCCAAAAATATAACAGTGCCCCGCCTACTCCAACAACAAATGCTAACAATTTAGAAGAAGAAGAAGAAGAACAAGTTTTCACTAAGAAAAACGGAGAGCCAAAAAAAAATATTGTAGAAAAAAAAAAGGTTGACACCAAACCGGATAGGATTGCTCCTTGTACACCGAAGAATTCAGGAAACAAAACAGCTAGCCCTAATCAAAAATTTAAGGAAACTCGCCTTACTAGGAATAAGAATCCCTTGAAGTCAAACCCTTAAAGTTTGTTAATCTAGATTTACTAACTGAGAAGGATAGACCAATACTTGAAGCCCAGGCGCTAAAACTTGTTTACGTGTCTCTCGGTGACTTGCAGTAAGTTAGCTCATAGACTAATGATACAGTGAATTAACTTTATTTCTATTTTTATTCTGTGTAATTACGCTACAACGTTACATTTTTTTTTTTTTTTATATATGTTACATATGCTTACTTATCATTAACTATTCTTATAAGTTAATATTACTTTCTTACTTAATTTCTGTATTTGTAGCTAATAACTGTATATTTAGTAGCAATCATTCATAAAAATGGATCCTTACATTAGGGACGTGAATCGTGAACCTTTCAATACAATAAAATTAAATTCACCAAATGATGTTAATAATCTCTATAATAATTTAAACGGTCAAACATTTAACATTTTCCACCAAAATATATGCAGCATAAATAAAAATTTGGATAAATTGAAAATATTTTTACACCAACTTTCATTTTCTTACGATTGCATAGTTTTAAGTGAAACGTTTAATGTGCACGACTATAATTTATTTCAGCTGGAAAATTATGATTTATTATATAGCGAAGGTAATATAAACAAAAATGATGGAGTTATAGTTTTTATTAAGAATAAATTTAATTATTCATATAATGTAATATCTATAGGAATGTGTCGTGCCATACAAATAATATTAAAGATGAAAAATAATAATCAAATTGCAATAACTTCAATATATAAACCACCACCAGTAAATGAGGAAGAATTCCTTGGACATCTTGAAATTTACCTAAAACAAACAAATAAATTAAAAATCACTGAGCATATTTTAATTGGCGATATTAATATTAATTTAAAAATTATTAGTGACACTGTTTCCAATTATTTAAATATAATGGAGGAATACGGTTTTTGTTCTTTAATAAATAAAAACACAAGAGTTTGCGGTATTTCAAAAAGTTGCATCGATCACATATTTTATAGTAACAAAAATAAAGATACTAAAAGTTGCATAGCATCGGTATGTGACACATTTATATCTGACCATAGGGCGATTTTTGCATTTATCCCATTGTCTCCAGAATTAAAATCCCAAAACGAACACATTCTAAAACACATAAATTACAGCAAACTTAGACAAGAGTTGCAGAAACATGACTGGACACAATACAAAAATATCGGCTATGTAGATCTAAAAGCAACGTATATAATAAAAACCTTAAGTTTATACATTGAAACAAACACACATATATCAAAATTAGCACGTGCGTGCATTAAAAGAAAACAATGGATTACCAAAGGTCTAATAAACTCTATTCAAAAAAGAAATAAACTTTATAAAGAATATAATAAAGATCGTGAAAATAATTTTAAAAAACGTGAGTATTTAAATTACCGCACAATCGTCGACAAAACTATTAAGGCAGCAAAACTAAATTTCTACACAAAACAAATAACAGAAAATAAAAATAGCTCCAAGCACTTGTGGACTTTGATAAAAGGTTGTGGTAATAATAGCCAAAATAAAGAAAAAATAGAGGAGATACTTACGGAAGATGGAACCCTAGTTAATGATCCCTTATATGTAGCACAAGAATTCAATAACTACTTTTCTAGTATTGGGGAAAAATTAGCTGGTAAAATAATTAGGCCAAATAATCCTCTCTTTAGAAAAAACCAACTACAGGTAAATTCATCATTTTTTTTGACACCTGTAACAGAACCTGAAATAATAAACATTATAAAAGCATTAAAAAACAAAAAAGCACCAGGTATTGATAACATTAAGTCTGAGGTTATTAAAGAAACTGCTGAAATCATTGCACCTTATTTATCAGATTTGATAAACTCCATTTTTGAGACAGGACAGTGCCCAGCAGAATTTAAAAAGGCCATCATTACTCCAATACACAAAAAGGGAGATAAGAAATGTTTATCAAATTACAGGCCAATCTCATTGATTTCAACAATTGCGAAGATTTTCGAAAAATCTCTGAAAACCAGATTAACGACATATCTAAATAAATACAATATCTTATCAAAATCTCAGTTTGGTTTTCGAGAGGGTCTTTCAACAAGTGATGCTATAATTACATTGGTGAACCAAATCTATGATTCAATAGATACAGCAAAGCCTTCTATATGCGTATTCCTAGATCTCGCCAAGGCCTTTGACACTGTATCTCACAATCAGCTGTTGGAGACCTTGG